AGAATATGGCATATGATACATATAATGTACAAAATATGTACAAAAATAATGTACAAAATATCAGTAAGGCTTCCAATCAACAGTAAGCTATTAGAAGTTAAGTTTTGGGAAGTCAGAATTATAAGGGAATTTTTGACTGTGCAAGGGTCAGTGCCCCTAACTTCCTCCCCACCCCCATGTTGTTCAAGGCTCAACTATATTTACCTTCCCAGTGTGTTGCTTGTTTTCATGTTTTCACATTACTAATTAGCATACTTTCATTGCAGTTTAAAGAACTCCTTTCAGCATTCCTTATAAGGCACTTCTATAGATATTTTTAAAGATTTTATTTATTTGGCAGAGAGCAAGAGCACAGGCAGGGAGTGCGACAGGCAGAGGGAGAGGGAGAAGCAGGCTCCCTGCTAAGCAAGGAGTCCAATGCAGGGCTCAATCCCAGGACCCTGGGATCATGATCTGAGCTGAAGGCAGAGGCTTTAACCCACTGAGCCACCCAGACGCCCCTTATAAGGCACTTCTAGCGATGAACTCCCTCTGCTTTTGTTTGTCTGAGGTAATCTTTGTTTTTCTCTCATTTCTGAAGGACAGCTTTGCCAGGTCATTCTTGGTTGCAGTTTTATTCTTTTAGCACTTTGAATATATCATCCCACTCTCTCTGTGAGGTTTCTGCAGAGAAATCCGCTGATACTTTAGGGGGATTCTCTTGTAAGTTATAAGCTTCTTTACTCTTGCTGCTTTTTTTTTTTTAAGATTTTATTTATTTATTTGAGAGAGAGCGTGCGCACAAGTGAGAGATTACAAGCAGGGGCAGCAGCAGAAGGAATGGGAGAAGCAGAATTCCCATTGAGCAAGGAGACTGATGCGGGGCTCGATCCCAGGACCCTGAGATCATGTCCTGAGCCAAAGGCAGCTGCCCTACAGACTGAGTCATCCAGGAGCCCCTTCTCTTGCAGCTTTTAAGATTCTTTGTTTTTGATTTTCAACACTTTCATCCTAATGTATATTGGAGAAAATCTCTTAAAGTTGGAACTTTGGGAACTCTCAGCCATTATTTCTTTAAATAAGTTTTCTCCATCCGCTTCTCCCTCTCTTTTCCTTCTGGGGCTCCAATAATTAGCATTTTGTTTCTTTTGATGGCATCCTATAGATCATATAGGCTTTCTTCACTCTTTCCTTCTTTTTCCTTTTTTACTCTCTGACTGGATAATATCAAAGTTCCTTTATTCTAATTCACAGGTTCTTTCTCCTGATTGCTTCATTCTACAGCTGATGCCCTCTGTGGCATTTTCCACCTCATTCAATGTATTCATCAGCTCCAGAGTTCATTTGGTTCTTTTTTGGTATGATTTTGATCTCTTCTGTCTTTCTAGCTCTGATTTCTCTCTCTATTTCATTTTATTTGTCTATTCTTTTCCTGATTTCATTGAATTGTCTTTGTGTTTTCTTGTAGCTCATTGAGCTTCCTTAAAACAGCTATTCTGAATTTTTTTTTTGAAAAGATTTTTATTTATTCATGGACAGAGAGAGATCACAAGTAGGCAGAGCAGCAGACAGAAAGAGAGGAGGAAGCAGGCTCCCCGCTGAGCAGAGAGCCCGACGTGGGACTTGATCCCAGGACCCTGAGATCATGACCTGAGCCGAAGGCAGAGGCCCAACCCTCTGAGCCACCCAGGCGTCCCAATTCTGAATTTTTAAAAAAAGATTTTATTTATTTATTTGAGAGAGAGAGAGAGTATGAGTGGGGAGAGGGAGAGGGAGAAGCAGGCTCCCCACTGAGCAGGGAGCCCGATGTAGGGCTCAATCCCGATCCTGGGCTCAATCCCTGAGATCATGAGCTGAGCTGAAGGCAGACGCTTAAATGACTGAGCCACCCAGGCGTCTCTGATGGCCTCTGTTTTGTTTTCTCAAGGGTAGGGTTAAAGCTCACGTTTGTGGTCTGTCCCCAGTCTGCAGACTCAGGCTGGCTTTCTGTGCGTGCTCGCTAGCCATCTCCCAAAGCTCACTCTTGCCACCATCAAGAGTTTGCACAGAAATCATCCACAGGGTAAGGGGGTGAGACAGGGGCTCATGGGGGTGAGATGCGTGGCTCAGGGATATCTCTGAGCCAGGTGGAGGGATCTGCAGACAAGATCAGCGTGTGGGCAGGCTTCTTATTGAAGTCTGAAACACAGTAGGATCCACGTCCCTTTAATGCCTTCTGAGGGTCTTATCTGTCACTCTCCCAGCCTTTTCCCACTCCCAAGTCACACAGCTCAAGACTCAGTACTCTGGTCAGCGTGAGTGAGAAGTAGGTTTGTTTGGCAACTCGCTGCACAACTGGGGAAATGTGCTCTCTCACATGCCCTTATTTTTCCCCATGGGAGAAATCGAGGGCCAAGAAACATCTGTCTTGGCATGACCTTGTGCTCTTGGGGGAGGAGCATCATGTTCCTCCTTCCCTCTCCGGTGTGTTCACATTTTTCTTTTCTTTCCCCAGTGGTGTGCTGGAACTTCTTTACAGGGAACCTGGGCTCCCATAAAGGCTCTCTTGTCTGTGGGTGATTGTTTCAGACAGTGATCGCCAGCATCTCTCAGGCTGGAGCCAGTTCCCAGGCCCTGCAGGGTTCAAGCCGGGAGTAAGGTCTGCACACCTATTACCTGATGAACTGGTGGTCTAGACTCTTCCCTCTCGGGCTCTGTGGGGTGTGGTGTTGAGTCCCGCACCTTCCACAAGGTACTTTTGTCTGTGAATGAATGCCAACTTGTTGTTTTCGAGTTGGCATGTGGGTACGTGAGGGCTAGCTTGTTGAACTACCCCACCTTTTAAATTCTTACCCTTTACCCCGAATATCCGCCTGACAGATTATATTCTTCTCCCCCTCCTTGTTCACCCTTTTGTGGATGGAAACGACAGAGTGAGGCTGGCTCTGGTCCTGGAGCTGATATTCCGGTAAAGATGGCAGAAAAGTTTGGATAACATCAAATGGGAAAAAAGGAATATTACAATGTTATTTTGCATTTTACCAGGAGTCTGAAAAAAGAGGGAAGTAGAGAAAGACTCATTAATAGGAAGTTGACATCTAACTGACATCCATAATCCATAATCCCCAGCAGCGGCAGGATGCCGCCCATTCCTAACGACCCCCAGTCCCATCCTTCTTCATTCCTCCTCTCAGGCATCCTAAGGCTGGAAGATACGCACGTCTGGATTGGACTTCCCTTTTGTGTGTGTGTGTGTGTGTTGTTGAATTCCTGGGGAATGCCACTGTCCTGTTTGCGATTCAGACTGAAAATGTTCTTCACAAGCCCGTGTGTTACTTTTAGCCATATTGGGCCCTACTGATCTGGGCCTCTCCACAGCCACCACCCTAAATGCTGGGCATCTTCTGGCTGAGTCTCAGGGATATATCTCTTTTTGGGGGGGAGAGGGATATATCTCTTTTTTAAAAGTATGGCAAAAAAAAAAAACCAATATAAAGCCTATCTTAACCATTTTTAAGTGTCGATTTCAGTAGTGTTAACTGTATTCACATCGTTGTGCCGTGAATCTCTAGAACTTTTTCATGCGAAACTGAAACGCCGTACCCATTGAACAACACCCCATCCCCTCCTCTTCCAAACCCCTGGAAACTACCATTCTACTTTGTTTCTACAAGATTGACTACTTTAAATACCTCACGTAGGGGAATCACACAGTATCTGTCTTTTTGTGGCACACTTATTTCACTCAGTATATCCTCAAGGTCCATGTCGTAGCATGCGACAGAATGTCCTCCTTTTTTAAGGCTGAATAATATGTGTGTGTATACTTTATTCCTTTGTCCCTTCATCCATCAGTGGACTTTTGGGTTACATGTCTGACTAGTGTGCTTAATACTGCAATGAATGTGGGTGTGAGTTTTGCTGTTTTTGTTGTTTTAAAATTTTTATTTTAAAATAATCTCTCCAGCCAAAATGGGGCTCAAACTTACAACCCCGAGATCAAGAGTCGCACACTTTACCAACTGAGCCAGCCAGGAGCCCTGGTGTGAGTTTTTTTTAATGGCTTTACTGAGAAATAAATCACATAACCACAGTTCATTCATTTAATGTGTGCAATTCAGTGGGTTGTAGTATATTCACAGATACGTGCAACCATTACTGTAGTCAAGAACTTTTTCATCACCCCAGAAAGAAGACTTGTACCCTTTAGTTCTTATCCCTTATCCCACCATCCTCCCCACCTGGCCCTAAGCAACCACTAATCTACTCTCTGTCTCTGCACATTACCCAATCCTGGACTTTAAAAGGAATGGAATCATATAATATGTGGTCTTTTGTGACCAGCTTCTTTCCCTTAGCGTACAGTTTTCAAGGTTCATCTGTGTCGTGGCTCGTGTCAGTACTTGACTCCATTTTGTGGCTAATATTACATTGTATGGTTAACCATATTTTGTTTATTCATGCGGGAGCTGGTGGACATTTGGGTGGTTTCCACCTATTAGCTGCTATAAATAATGCTGCTACAAACATCTGTGTGCAGGGTTTCATGTGAACATATGTTTTCATTTCTTTTGGATAGATACTTGGATGTGGAGTTTCTAGGTCATATAATAACCCTATATTTAATCATTTGAGAAATTATTAGATCCTTTTCCCCAAAAGCTGTATCAGTTTTACATTTCTACCAGTAGCATATGGGGGTTCTAATTTCCCCATGTCTTTATCAACAATTTTGACTTTTTTATTCTAGCTATCCTTTTAGGTGTGAAGTGGTATCTTCTGGTTTTTATTTGCATTTCCCTAATGGTGAGTGATGTGGAGCTCTGGCCATTTGCTAGTTTTACTCCGTAAGTTTTGGCCGGGGAGAGGCAAGTCTGGCAGGTCTAGGAAGTACAGTCTGCAAGTCACTTTGGAAAATGAGGAGCCAGAAGATGCCACACACCTTCCATGTGGGGTGACATCTGAAACCAGCACCCTTTGTACTGCCCCCCCAGAGTCCCTCACTGAAGGTGCCCGTGGCCCCAGGTCCATACTGCAACTACTCAGTTAAAGAACAGCTTTATTGGTAACCTGACGGAACCAAGGTTACCTTGGTGGGGTCAGCCTGTAAGGCCTCATCCATGCAGGAAAACCAATCACACAATTCATGGGAGTTCCTGACAAGAGGTCAGATCTCCACTCCTAATCGTAAGAAAAATTCCAAATTTACAAATTTCCAAAAAAATTCCTGATTTCAGAGTGAACAAAAAGGTCAGAGGGTTATCAGTCCCCCTGCTTGTGGGGGCTCAGGAGGCTGGCTGAGTTGCTCAGTAACATCTGTGGGGCCGCGCAGACAAGATGGAAGCCAGGAAGGCCATGGGAAATCGCCCCAAGACAAGTTTCCAAGAAGGTTCACACTTGGGCAGGGCATGGAACCTGGCCCTGAGATTGCACTTTGGGTCTGATGGGGCCAAGTCCCCGAGCGGGCCTGGGTATCAGAGGACCCTGCCTGCTGGCCTCGGCATGTGGAGGCTCCATAGTCTGGGCTCAGCGACGCCGCCACAGCCTGTCCCATGTCTCAGCTCCTCAGTGCTGGGGCGTCCCCAGCTTCCTGACGGGATACAGGTACCACATCACCACCCCTGAGGGGTTGATGATCACTGTGAAGTTGGTTTTAGAGTGGAGGCCACTGATGACATCACCCGTGTAGACGTTCTGGGCCTGCAGTGGGAGGAGACATCAGCAAAACCACTATAAGAACAGCTGCACAGAGCCCCCCTCCGAGGGCAGGAAAGCCTGGACTTCGGCCTGTGGCGGGCTTCCGGGGTGCCCCAGAGAAGGGGGAGCACGGCACCTCCCATCACTTCTCCATTGGCAAAGTCAGCAGTTGCCCAAACACAGGCAGTGGCGAAAGCCCCAGCCCACGGACAACCGGAGGAATGTGCTGGCCAGGACAGACCAATAAGGGGACGTGTGCAGCTTCAGGGCACAGGCCTTAATTATACAGAGCAGCTCTGTTTGCAGAGCCTGAAAATACCAGTGCAGAGAAGGGTACAGCCACAGCCCTGCACACCTGCAGCTACCCCTCAGGTTCCTGCCAGAGGCCCCAGGGTCCAAGGCCTAGGGGAGGCCCTGTACAAGGCAGCAGCACCCCGGCAACGCCCTCCCAGGGAAACCTGCAGCCCTGCGGGTAGCAGGGTACTCACCTCATACGTGTGGGAGCTGTTGAAGTTGAGCTGGGCGAGGGAGGAGTGGTAGTGATACGGCATATCCGTCCGGCGGCTGAAGAAGACTAAGGCGCTGGCCGCGTTGGCCAGGGGCCGCATGAACACTTCAATGCGGGATTTCTCCTAGGCACACAAGGTGGCTACCGGCTGGCCTCCCTGCTCAGGCAGGCCCTGAAATCCCCTCCCCAGCCTTCCTTTGAGCTCTGGGTCTCCTTAGCCCACACTTTCATGTCATGCAGAAGTTTGGGGGATACCCGGGCCCTCCAGCACCCCAACTTACTCTTGCCTGACTCAACTGTGTGCCAGGCCCCATGCTAGAACACAGAGACAAATGCTGTATGAGGTCCTGTCTCGGAGAGGCAGGGTCAGGGGCGGGATAGACATGGGCAGCTGCTGGCACTGGAGTGGAGGCCACTGTCCAGGAAGGACGACGAACTCTGGCCTGAGTAGCCAGGAGGGTGAAGCCCCATCTTCCAGAAAGTCCCTGGGCCTGGTTCCACCATAAGCCCCTCCAGTAGGAATTAAGTTACCTCCTTTGGGCATCACCGACTCCGTACATGACTTCTATGAGTTGTATGGATTTCTTTTAACCAGAGAGGGGAGATCTGCGCAAACAGCACAAGCTTTGAGGCTCGACTGTTGGGAGTTAAGTACTACCGTACCATCTACCAATTCTGTGGCCTTGTGTTACTCAGACTCCTCAAGTCTCAGTTTCCTCATTTGTAAAATGGGGAAGGAGTATTCACCTTCTGAGAAAAGGTACCAGAACGCCCAGTGCACCATAGGTTCTCAGTAAACAGCCAGTGCTAGTGCTAGGAAGCCCTAGTTCTCTGCCAGACATCACCGACGTGTGCAGAAGTCTTATACTGCCAAATCGAGGGACCCCACTGTCCTGTGTGCACTTGTGGGATGATGTGTCCCTTCCCCAGATCCCATGAGCTCTGGCTTTGCTCTCACTCAGGCAAAGGGGCACCAGGGGGAAGGGGCAGATGGCTGGAGCAGCTCCCGGTAGAATCCTTGACTGAATGCAACCAGGAAGGAGGGCTGAGCAGATTTCAGAGGCCCAGCCCTCTGTGACCTCCGGCTTGCAGCCTTGTTCTCAGGGGAGCCCAGTCCCTCGGCCTCCCCTTCCCTCCCCCCACACCCCAGTACCTTGCGAATCCTGCGTCCTTGGATGCCCAAGGGATCCTGGTTGATTTTGATCATGAGTGGATTCTGCAGAATGTCCATGTTCTGGGCTGAGATGGTACGCAGGTCTGTGGACATGAAGAGGGGTGCTGCCAGCACCGTCCATAGTGCCATCTGGGCCCGGGCTTGCTCAAAGCTGAGGCCAAAGTTCCCTATGAGCAGCTGGGGTCAGAGAAGAGAGGAGCGGTCAGCTCTGTCCTCTCCAGGGAAGTGGGCACAGGGCCCAACCCTAAACACGTAGCCAAGGCAAGAGGAGATGGGGAGGACAGCCTGTGAACACCACTTCTCAGCCGCGTGGCCTTGGGGTGAGCCGCGCACTCTCCCTGTGAGCCTCAACTTTTTATTTCACCAAGAATACAGGGTGAGCATATGTCCTGGCCACAACACAGGTTGTTCAGATGATCCAGTGGGATCCCGCTGCCGAATGCGTTTAGACACTGGAACACCAAAGTCAAGCAATACAGTCGGAGTGGCAGCCGTAGGTAACCAGACCTGGACAGGGTCCCTGCTCCCTTTCCTAGCCATCCACCTGCCCTAGCCACAGGCGACAGGACCAAGGGGCCTTCCTGACCCCAGGACAACCAGTCCACAGACTGGACACAATAATGGCTAACGCAAGCAACATGCTTGGGTACTTAGTGATACCAACTGAACCCCCACTGGGTGTGCGCCAAACCGTGCCGAGCTTTTTAAAGAATCATTCGTTTCAACACTCAGAACAGCCCTATATGAGGTAGCTACTCTTCTCATTTTCCAACTGACAAAACTGAAGCACAGGAAAAATTAAGTCACTTTCCCAAGGCTGAGCGGGAACCAGAACTCCAAAGCAGGCCAATCTGTTTCTCCAGGCGTCTATCTGGTCTACGTAATAATAGTGTATACAATAATGTAATTATAATCATCATCACCGGTAGTAAATGCTTGTTGGCTAAATGAAGAGACAGCTATAAAGTCGTAAGATAAATTGCAAGACAATTTCGGTCATGGGGCTCTGAGGGAGGCACGAGGGGCCACCTCTGCCTGTCGAGGCTCTGCAGGCCATACCGGGGCACAGGGCAGGGCAGTCCAGGGAGGGAGTGGCCAGAGCGCGTGGACTCTTCGTGACCCTCACCCCCAGCGGAATACAGTCCCACAAGCGGCACTACAGACCGAGTTCTCAGGTTTCAAGAAACATCAGAACTGCCTGGGAAGATGGTTAACAATGGGCATTGCGAGGCCCTCTTCGAACATTCTGATCCAGAAGGTGGGGGTGGGGCCCTGGGAAAGAGAAGAACAAGCTCCCGTAGTGAGTCTACCGCAGCTGGTTCAAGGACATGTTTTAGAGACACTGATCTAGAACCCGGCGGTGAGCATCTAGGAAGACAGCACAGGGCAGTGGGGAACGGGTCTGTCGTGGCCATCCCCCCTCCATGCCGGTACCATGTCTGGGTCGTTCCAGTGCCCAGGGCCTGCCACCGGCTGCAGGATGTCCTGGTTGTCCACGAACCAGTCCAGGATGGAGAGCACGCTACTCCAGGAGTCCTGGATGTCGTCATAGTTGCGCCAGAGGTTGCAGATTTCTGCCAGCAGAGTGTAGTTCACCTGGATGTTGGGGGAAGGCGGAGTCCGGCACCACAGTCAGGCCCTGCTGCCTGGAGGCCCGCACGGGGGCTGAGGAGCCTCAGCAGGAGACATGGAGGGTGGGGGATGGGGATGGGGGCAGAGAACAGGCCCTGAGCCAGATCAGCATGAGGAAGGCCTCCCCTGCCCTCTCATGCCACCTGGGCCAAGCCCAGGGTATGGGCCCAGGCTGGTGTACCCATAACCCCCCCCACCCTTGTATTCTCTCAGTGAGTCCCACCACCTGCCGGCGCTCTCCGTCCGGTAAGCCGGTCTGATTCCACCCTTTCCAGGGTCCTAGGTGCTGAAGGGCCCCTGGGGAGGCTCAGCAGCACCCGCCTGGCCTCACCAGCCTTCTGGACCTCCTGGGACACTCAGTACCACTAGGATTCTGCCCACGTGCTGGGTGACGTGTGTCTGCCCATGACCTGCGGTTCCTATGCCTTGGACGCCCATCCCTTCAGTCCACCTCACAAGCGTCTCCTCTTCTCTAGACCCAGGGCTGGCTGAGGCCCCCCCAGGGCACTTACAATCCTCTCCTAGACCCACAAATCAGCACATGGGCAGCTGTGATGAGAGCAGCCCTGACTGCACAGGGGCGAGGAGGCTTGGCTATGGGGCGCGCTGCCAGGCAGGTGCACAGAAAGGCTTACCTTCGGGGGAAGACCCCCTTCGTAGGCTGGCCAACTGCAGGAGAAGGCGATGGGGCGGCCTGTGGCATTCAGGGCAGCTGCCATCTTGGGGTACCCTGGGGAAGCCCAACCCCCACACTTTAGGACTGAGGAGGCTCAGGAGAAAATCCGAGGCCTCAGCCCAAACCTCCCACCAAATGTGAGGAAACAGACTCAAAAGAGAGGCACTTCCTCTTTTGAGTCTCACTTCCTTGGTGGGGCATGGCGCCAAGCCATCTGTAGGAAGCCTGGGAGGCAGGAATCCCCCCAGCCTCTGGGTGCAGGGAATTGGGAAATGCTACCCCCTAGGGGCCATAGGGACACTCGAGCTCAAGCTCAGCCAGGTGGGCACCTGGGAGCTTTCCATGGCCGCCCCCCCAGCCCCCTGCTCCCCCCCCAGCCCCCACCAGCTCTTGGACCCACCCTTGGCCCGTTCCTTGGGGGTTGAAAAGCAGCCATCCAACTTCAGCATGTCCACCTTCCACGCGGCAAAGGTTTGAGCGTCTTGAACCACCTTGTCTAGTGTGGTGCCTGGGTAGCCCATACAGGTGAAGTTGCCCATGTCCTCGTAGATGCCCAGCTTCAGGCCCAGGGAGTGAGCCTGTGGAGGGTTGAGGACACTGTGGGCTCAGGCGGGGAGCCACCTCACAGGCACATCTGACCAGGCCTCATTATAAAACTATCAATGGCTCCCCACTGCCCAAAGGAAAGGGTCTCAGTGTGCTGGCCTGGCCTCTGCCAACCACAGTCCTCCTCCTCCCTCCAACACACACCTCCCATGGGCAGTTTCTGGCTTCTAGGCCTGGCTTCTGCCGCCCCTCTGCCCCGAATGCCACTTCACTTGTATCAGCTCAGGAACCGCCTCCTCTGGGGAATCTTTCTGAAATCCCAGGCTGGGTAAGATGCCTTTCCTGGCTCTTAGCCCGCCGCAGTGGGCCCAAGCGAGCTGTTCATTTATCTGCTTCCCCCACCAGACAGATTTTTCAAGCAGGGGCTGCAGAACTGAACCCTAAGTGAAGTGGTGGCAGCGGGGCCGCGAGCGGTCTGGACCCCCAGCTCTAGGGCAGGGCGGGGGTGGGGCTCACATAGTCAGCCAGGAAGGCAATGCCGTTGGGGAAGCGCTTGGGGTCGGGCACCAGGTTGCCTTTAGCGTCACGCCCACCAATCCAGCAGTCGTCGATGTTGAGGTATATGTAGCCTAGGTCCCGCCATCCATCCTGCGCCAGGTGGTCGGCCATCTCCATGAAGAGCCTCTCACTGGTGAGAGGCAGGGTGGGGGGCAGCTCGGTCACCCCCCACCCCCTTCTTCAGAGCTTTTCAGACTTCCCAGATAATCTGAGTGTGAATCCAGGCTGTGAGAACCGTAATCAGGGTGGAACGAAAGGAGTGGCTTGGCCCCCAGGCTTGCGCGACTGAGCCAGCTTTCACAATTATCTCCTTTCAGTGACCTCTGGGGCTGGGTCCACAACGATGTCCCTGACCCATCAGGGCTGACAGTCCCTACATGGGCCCCAAGCAGGTCACAGGCTGTCAGATATCCCAGAAGTCACCTCTGGCTGCATTCTCTCTGGGATGGGGCTCTCTGGCCCTGCCCTCCTTTCTAGCTGACCCTCCCCTCTCTGCCCCACTCTGCTGGGTCTTGGGCGAGGCTTGTGCGGTGGTGCGCCTTCCTCACCTGATGCAGTTCTTCGGGTCCTCGTTGCAGTTGGTGTTGCAGCGAAAGCGTTCCCAGGCCAGCCAGCCCATGGGTGGCTTCCGCAGGAGCCCATTCTCTAGCACCAGCACATGGGCCACCAGGGCCAGCAAGACCACTGCAGGGGGGGTCAGAAAGACGACTGTCAGCGGCTCCCATAGTAGCCCCAGGCCTCACGCCACTCCATTCATACCCTGTCCGGCCTGGCTGTTCAGCTCTGCGGAGGCCGCTGGCCTTCCCCTTAGTGGGGTCAATAAGGTAGAACTAGCTCTTCCTGCAACTGCTGGCTCCAGCAGTCACAGTGAGGGGGGCTCACGGTGCCTGGGGCAGGGTGGTGTGTTCCGGGCCTGAGTCTCCACTTGCTGTTGCCACAGCTGCTGTTGCTGGAATTTGTAAAAACTCACATCTGAGTTGGGATGTTGCCCAGCTCCCCCCATTTACACAGAACTTGACAGAACCCTGTAGTCAGACTCCAGGTCTCCTGACCCCCATCCATAGGTCTTTGCGCTCCACCACAGAACCCCCCCTCAAGAGGCCTCATAAGGGCTTCAGGGGTCAGCCAGGTTGGACCTGCACCTAGCCAGCTCAGCCGGGTGAACCCTTGCCCCCTCGGGCCTGTTTCCTTATCTGTAAGATGAAGTTACTGTAACTGACTTTACAAGGCTCTTCCCTGCCGTGTTGATAACACATAAAATAGGACTTCTGCACTTTGAGGGAGAGAGGACTGGAAAGGAAGAGGCTTCTTTGGAGAGTAACTGATTCCTGGGTGGGGAGCATCTCCTTTCTGGCCCAGTTCCCAAAACGAGAGGAACATGTCTCCCCACATACCCACATCAGGGAAGGAGGCCCTGAAACCGGAGGGCAGGAACTTCCTCCAGGTACCCCCTACCCCCAGCGGGTCACCTACCCTCCCCCAAACCACCCCCACGAGCTAGGTACCTGTCTTCAGCAACATTGCTCTGGACTCAGCGTCTCGGAACCTGACCAGATCTGCTCTGCTTTTACCAGCTTTATATGTTGGACTTCGGAAGCTAAGAAACGTTAGAAAAGCACTGGGGTCACTACTGCCTCGCTAGCTCTGCCGCCCTCAGCCTTGGGCGTGGATCCCCCACTCCGTCCCGAAGTCGCCCTCATTGCCCAACACCCCCGGCCCCCAGCCATCACGTCCCCGAGCTTGGGGATGCCTCAGAAATACTAACCAAGGCGTGTCAGACGATAGACCCCACCCTCTCTGTAGTGCTGGGAACCCCGAGCGCCCACGGGCGGCCCTCCGCCGGGCCGGGGCCACAAAAAGACAGCGATCCCCTCTGGGACGCCCGGGAAGAACCGAGGCGTCGGGCTGGGACCAGGCTTCGGACTCCCACCGGGTCTGGGGTGCCCCCCCGCCCCCAAGGACCGCAGCCCAACAGCCCCAGAGCGGGGATCCTCCCCCAGAGTGCCCCGCTCACGGAACTCACCCCGCAGACGCCCCCAGAACGCCGCCCGTTTCTGCCTCTGGGGCAGCCGACTGCTGCTGTAATCCGATTCGCCTGCTGCGTTCCAGAGGGGGCGGAGCCTGGCGGTGGCACGCCTTCCCCGGCGGAACCTATCAGAATCCCCCTAGCAACGTCGCGTCCCGCCCGCTGTGAGCCCAATAAGCCCGCCCCCGAGCCTCCCCAGGCCCCGCCCCCCTCGAGCTCGGGCTCTGAGCCCATCCCCGGCGGAGCGGGTTGAAGGACTGGCTGACCTGGCTCCCTCGGCTCCCGCAGAAGGTAGTCGTTTCACCTCTGCAGGGTCCCTGAAGGCAAGCATAGTGCCCGGCGCAGTGTACACGTTTAATAAATAGTACGGCGTGAATATCTGCGTTATTAAAAGGAAGTGAGGAGATGCCATGAAGCACGACCTTCAAAGTAAGCCACTCAAAAACGGTAGTCGAAGATGGAAAGGCATTTACGAGAAAGATGGGTGGGGGAAAGCAAATCAGGTGTAGGGCACTGCTTTTTGCAAAGCCAGGAGGCTCTCCTCCCCTACCTGACACTCCGGGCCAGCCACCGGTTGTACTGACCCAGGCACGCATTCTGCATATTTCTTCTCTTTCATTCATCAAATATTTACTGAGCGACTACTAGGTAGGTGCCAAACACTTTATTCTCGGCACCTTCACTTGGATGGTCACTGGGCATCTCAAACATAACCGGCCCCAAACCGAACACCCCAAACGGAACATTTCTCGGGTAATGGCAACTCTCCTTCCATATGCTCAAGCCAAAACCTTTGAGTCCTCTTTGCCACCACTCTCCCTCACTCCCCATATCCAGTCTTTTGGCAAACCCTGTTGCCCTCTGCCGTCCAAACCCACCTCATTACTCTCCCGGCAACCATCACATCTTGCCTGGATCATTAGTTGCAGCATCCTCGTCAACCCGTCGGCTTCCACCTGCACTCACTCTCTCCACAGCAGCCAGAGTACTCCCACAAAACACGAGCTCAGTCGGGGCACCTGGGCGGCTCAGTAGGTTAAAGCCTCCCACTCTTGACTTCCGCTCAGGTCATGATCTGAGAGCTGTGAGATAGAGCCCAGGGTTGGCCTCCTGCTGAGCCTGCTTGAGATTCTCTCTCTCCTTCTCCCTCTGCTTGCTTGAGTGCTCTCTCTCTCTCTCTCTAAAAAAATAAATAGAAAATAAAATATAACACAGATCATGCTTTGCTCCACCCTGTGATGGCCGTTCATCCCAGTCTAGAGACTCACAGATTTACAAAGCCCCACCCACACGTTCTGACCCCCTCTCCCACTGCTCTCCCCCTCCTCCCTGACTCCTGGCCACACCGTCCTCCTTACAGTTCCTCAAACACACAACAGGTCTCCGAGTCCTTGCACTAGCTGTTCCCCCTGCCTGGAACGCTCTTCCTCCAGATTTTGGCATGACTGGCTCCTTTATTTCCTTCCAGTGTATCTCAAAGGCCACCTTCTCAATGAGGCCTACCTTGACCTTCCCATTTGAAATTGCGATCTCTACTTTAGCAGTTCCCAAGTTCCCTGGCCCTCCTATATTTTCCGTACCCCGTATTCCCGTCTAACACATTTATTATGGTTTCTATTATTAAATGAATTAAATTTAGTAGAAGAGACAGATAACAAGAAACGAAAGCGTGAATACAGGGGAGTTTCTATCGTGGCCAGTGAAAATACAACTCAGGGATGTGATAAGAGACTTGAGGGTAGGATACTTTCCATCGCCTGGTCAGGGAGGGGACATCTGAGCAGAGACCTAATTGATGTGAAGGAGCCCCGAGACGTTAGAGACGAGGGGTAGGGACAAGAAGAACATACTCTAGGCTGCAGGAAAGTGTAAAGGCTAGAGCTCCGAGCCCAGAACCACCAAGTTCATGGGCAGATACGCCGACCTCGCTGGCTTCCAGCCTCTGGTGTGTGGCTGAGCCCTCCTGAGACCTTCACTACAGTCCAAGAGACCGACCCCAGGGTGGGCGGCAGGCCGCTGGCAGTGGCGGAAGCAGAAATGGATAAGCCCCAGAAACAGAGATTCGAGAATTTCAGGGGCCGGGTGGAGTCGCCAGGAAGCTCGCCCGGACCTCGCGGGCTGCATAGGAGCCCGCCCAGAGGAGGCGCCGGGCCGAAGCCGTCCCAGGCTTGGCTCTGTGGGGAAAGTGGGCCGGGCGGGATGAGGGGGCTGGAGAGGGGGAGAGAAGGGCTCCGAGTTCTCCCGGCAGTGGGCTGGGTCCGAGGCCCGCGGACTGCCTGCGGTGGGGCCCTGGGTTCGAGGTCGCCCGCCGCTGACCAGCTCTGTCCGGGGCTCTGGGGCCTCAGTTTCCCCCCCCCCCCGCCCCGCATGGATCAGGGGCGGCTTCGCGGACCGCCCGGTGAGCCGCGGGAGGGGAGGGGCGCGGGGGGTAACTCGAGCCGCCCGGAAGGGGTCTCCCGGCGCCCGCAGCCACGTTCCGGTCCTGGCGGAGGCGCGGGGTCCGGAGCCGGGGTCGCCCCGAGCCGCAGGCGCAGCGCACCCCGCGGGACGCCCTCCCGAGCGGCGTCGCGCCCGGCGGCGCGGAGGTGAGCGGGCCCGGCGGACTCTGGAGGCGGCGGCCCCGGGAAGGCGTGGGCCGCGGAGACGTGGCTGGGCAGCCCCACTGCGCGGACCGGGAGACTGAGGCGGCCGCCGCGGCTCTGCGGCGCTCGGCCGGGGGCTCCCGCGGGGGCCACCGCTGTTTTCGGGCGGTGGCGGGTCCGGGGCAACCCGGTGGCCCCAGGCCGCTGGGTCCCAGGCCCCAGCCCGCCCAGCTCCTCTAACAAAAAGAATCAGGAGACACGGGTGTACCGGCCCCTCGCGGGCTGTGCGGTCCGCGTCCCGCACCCAGGCTCGCGGCGGGAGCCGGAGCACTGTCCCGCGGGCCCGGGGGTCCCCTTTCCGTGACCTGGTGCCGTGCCGGGAGGACCTCAGTGAGCCCCCGCCTCCCGCGACCCGCCACTGGCATGGCCCCGCCCCCGAAGGCCCGGCCTGTTTCTCTCCCCAAGCCTTATCGGGACTGGTCCTTAACGTGACTTCTTACTTACTTAATTTTCCCATTCATTTATTATTTATCTTTGTTTACAATGTCTCCCCGCTGGAATGCAGGCTCCAGGAGGGACGGATTGCTTTGTCCACTGCTGTCTTCTTGGTTATTTCAGTACTTTCTGAAGTCCTCATCTTGATGGGCTTTTTATGGGAGGCTAGGAGGGCAGCCAAGCCGAGTCCCGCCCAGAAGAGTCAGTCCTGCGCTAGACGTTCTGGGGCTGGGGAGAGTGCGGTAAACAAGGAGACCATTGTGGGGGGAAGGAAAAGAAAGCAGAAGTGGGGGGCTACTGGTTGGGTCAGCCTGTGCTCAGGAGCCCTTTAGAAACAGTGATCAGGGCAGGCCTCACAGATCAGGTGACCTCAGCTGGCAGATAAACCCTGAGACTGCTAAAAGGGCAAAGCAGGAAGCTGAAGACACCTAACTCTGACCTTGACTTTGGGTGTAGGGGACTGAGCTCTGCAAAGTGATGGTTAATTGCTCTCAGGTGCCTGGTCTGGGTGGGCGGGAAGGTAGGGAGATTATCAGGGGTCAGGGGAGGCTTCCTGGAGGAGGTGGTGGTTTTACTGGGCCTATAAGACTGAGTAGGAGTTCTCATCCTTTAGGATGCTGTGATGGGGTTTGACAATTGTTTTGCAGGTGCCCTAGGAACAACATAGTCAAAGGGTTAAGCCGAGAGGCTGGACGCAAGGCCCCCGCCCTCTTGCTGTGAGCTCTGCTGGTAAGTGGGTCCCTGCGGAGACTCGCCCCTGGAAGGCATGAGGGAATCAGGAGACCAAGCTCTGCTTCTCACTGGTCATGCGGGCTTGGGCAGTTCATCTTTGCTGCTCTGGGCATCCGTTTTTCATGAGTCAGGAGGATAGTTGGATTGGGTGCCCCTTAGGATCCGTGGGGCACCCGCATTCAGGAGGGATTGGGCCGGGGTTCGGGTTGGGGTTGGTCCTACCCAGCCACACCCTGTGTTTGTACCACACTCATATACTGAGCAGGTCCCCATGTAAGCCTCCCCCCAAGCCCCCACCCCTGCCAGTGGAGGAATGGGGCCTGGCTTGCCCCACCCTGCCTTCATCTGGCCCCGAAGGCCACAGATTCTTAACTAAAGGATAACTGCCATTAACCAAGGAGAGGCTGGCGGGGGCCCAGGAGGGTCATAGAAACCTTGGAGGTTTGGCTTCAGGGTTGGAGCTAAGGGACCCCTGGATTAAGGGATGGTTCAAGCAGTGATTTCTATGGGTTCAGGGTCCATTTCAGCTCAGCTTGATGCTTTTTTCTTTGGAGTTTAAAAAGCTGTTTCAAACCTCTCCTTACCTCCTGGTCTGGGACAGTCACATTATCCTTCTCTCTGAGTCCTCTGCTGTCCAGTTTTTTGCATGCCCCTCACAACCACCCTTTGCGAGAAAAGGCAGGGACACAAGCCCATTTCACAGATGGGGACCCTGAGAGCCTGAGGGTATACAGCAAGTGAGTAGAGGCCACAGGGCAGGGGCCCAGGGGTCCTCCAGAGCCAGCGTTCTTTTCCCAGCAGGGGCAGAGAGGCTGCCTTCCGCTCTGACCGGTGGCCACCCATCTCCCCTCACAGTTCTTAGGGGAGCCATGAAGCTGAATGAGAGGAGCGTGGCCCACTACGCGTTGAGCGACTCTCCGGCCGACCATACGGGCTTTCTGCGCACCTGGGGCGGGCCAGGGACTGCACCGACCCCCAGTGGCACCGGCCGGAGGTGCTGGTTTGTCCTCAAAGGCAACCTGCTGTTCTCCTTTGAGAGTCGTGAGAGCCGGGCCCCGCTGAGCCTGGTGGTGCTAGAGGGCTGCACGGTGGAGCTGGCTGAGGCTCCCGTGTCCGAGGAGTTCGCCTTCGCCATCTGCTTCGACGCCCCTGGTGTGCGCCCACACCTGCTGGCGGCCGATGGGCCCGCGGCGCAGGAGGCCTGGGTGAAGGCCCTGTCCAGGGCCAGCTTTAGCTACATGCGCTTGGTGGTGCGCGAGCTGGAGAGCCAGCTGCGCGAGGCCCGCCACAGCCTGGCCTTGCATCGCCGCTCATCCTGGAAGGCCACTGGCAGCCACTGTAAGCCCCAGGCTCCTGACCGCCGGTCTCCAGGCCTGGAAAACGGTTACTCCCACTCCAAGGATTGCAGCCCCGTGGACTTGGTTGAAGAAAGGGGCAGCAAGCCAGCGGGGCAGGGCTTGGCTGAGTGGCAGGGCCCGGCCAGCCTCTACCTGGACGGGAGGCAGAGCCCCGCATTCCCTGAGACCTCCTACTTTTCTACCCTGCACAACTGGTACGGCCAGGAGATCATGGAGCTGAGGCAGAGGTGGCTGTGGAGGGTCTGGGGGAGCCGGCCAGCTCAGGAGAAACAGGATGGGCCCTGAGCCTCAGCCCTTGGGGGTTCTGCCTTTATCCTGCAGGTCAGGATTCAGTGTTTATTCGGTTTCAAGTTGCTTTTTTTTTTTTGAGAGGGTTCTTTCCTTCCTGCTTTTTAGTCCTTCTCCAGGTTCCAGATCCACCCTTGTGCCTGGACGGGACTGAGGAATCATTCCTTCCAGCACCTTTATTTCCTGAGGCCCAGAGAGGAAGGGGGCTTGCTTGGTAGCCATGGAGCCTGACCAAGTCTCCTGCCGTTCTGCTGGACTGCCGCTCTGGCAGGGGACACTAGTCAAATGGTGGAAATGGGGAATATTATGTGGCCATAGAATGCTACCTACACACCAGACTCTACAACCACAACTTCCTACACAGGGAGCCTTGTGTACATTTAAATACCAGAAGTTGGATGAAGCGTTGGCTTGGGGAGCCGACAGGATCAGGGAAAGTAGGTTTATTGCCATAGGGGTTTCTGGGGCCGGTGCTTCCTGAGAGGTGGGGCACAGGACCGCTCCCCCTCTGCAGTTTGGGTGGGGCCCTTTGGAGGGAGAGGGCCTTCAGCCAGCAAAAGGGGATTGATTTTGCTCAGAAAGTGTCGGGGCCATCAGCTTCTCTCCCTGGCTGCCCTGTCTAGAGATGGTGCTGGTCATGGCCCCAGGAAGGACTGGTGGCAGAAATCCTTCCTGTGTTCTGCCCTGAGCAGCTGGCTCTGGGAGCTGCCAGGTGGGAAGCTAAAGGAGTGGGGAGGCACATGGGGCTCCCTGGGGAAGCCAGGCTGTTATTTTGGTTCTCAGTCCGGGACATTCTAGAAGCTTGGAAGCAGGATTCCCAGCAAGCACCTTGTGATAAACTCTTTTCTCCTAACTGTGCTAAGAGCCACACCCGATCCCGAACCTGGCCTGAGAACTCATTGACAGTCCCGCTGGTCAGCCAGTGCGCATCTGCCAAGACCCTGTCTTTGCTACTCTCAGCAGCTCGGTGCCAAGTGTTTTCTCTATTGTTGAGGGAGGCAAAGTGACTGGAGAGAGCCAGCAGCCAGACCCGCCTGAGCCCCAGGGTGTGGTCGCAGCGGCTGGATGGGAGATCGCGAGGCGGTCAAGACATCCCCCCTCTGCCTGCGCGCAATCGGCCCCTTCTTAGCCTCTCGAGCCCTTACTAGGGCCTTGGGTACACTGCCCGCGGCCCCAGTAGGTCTAGAGGCTTCCGCTCAGCCCAAGACCAGGACGCCGGGAGGCCACCAGGGTCCGGAACGCGTTCCTGCGGGCTTGTTCCCAGAAGAGGGGCTGGAGGAGCCCTCGGCCCACTGCGCCTTGTTTTATACACAGACACTACAGGCTTTTGTTATCGTTCTTACGGTCACAGTGTTTTTTATACGAGTAAAACACTTAGTTTTTATTACTCACTTCGGTTCCTCGAGTTTATTTCAACAGTCACTTGCCCAGGTCGTGCGAAAGCTCGCACTTCCCCTTCCGATGTTTCCACTTCTCTCTGTAGCGTGCACCTTGGCAAGACACAGAATTCCACAATCATCCGGGGAGTACAACTAACGGGTATGAATCGTATTTTTTAAATGTTAAAAAGGAAAATACGACTGTCTGAGGGTCGATGAAAGTGACTTCCCTTCCCAACGGTCATCTGCTCTGCCCAGCCCCGGCGCGGCAGGGTGAGCGAACAAGGGCGGAAGAGAAAAGGTTCCACCAGGCCAGCTCGCAGGACGAGCCCGCCCGCCAGGCCCGGAACTAGGCGGCTACGGGGCGTTGACCCCTCCTCGTGACGTCACCACGTCGGGCGCGTGACAAACGCCTCTTTCGCAGGGCAACAGGAACTAGGCTGGGTCTCGCGTCTGATCCCAAAAGCCTCGCGAGGGTTGGGGCGGTGCTCTCCCGGAGGGCGTCACAGCGGCGGGGCGTGGGGTCCGGGTGCCGGGCTAGGGGCGGAGCTGGGAGATGGCGTCCGGAGGGGTTCGCTGGCTGGCATTGGCATCCTTGCGATCCGGAGCTTTCCGGAGCGGGCCGAGCTTGAAAGATGGTGGTGATGTCTCCGCCGGAGGAGGTGGCGCAGGTCGGAGCCTGGTACCGTCGAGGTCAGTCATCGTTACTCGCAGCGGCGCCATTTTGCCCAAACCGGTGAAAGTGAGTGTCTGCCTGGAGGCGGGGCGAAGGGGCTGCGGCCAATCATTATGGGGAGTGTGCGCGGGTCGACGCTGACTGATAGGAGCAAAGGCCAATCATACGACCGCCTTAGACCGGAAGATGGATCAAGGACAAAGTTTAGCGATGATGCGCTGCTAATTTTGACAGGTGGGAGGAAATGGGTCAGATCCCGGTGTTGTTGGGCGCACCGAGACAGAGGATGGGGGGCGAGAGCTGAGAAGGACTGCACCCTGCACTAGCTCGTCGTGGTGAGCTAGCAGGGAGCGTGGTGCCCTAGTTCTCCAGGCCAGAAGACTCGGCTGTGTGTGTCCGGTGTAGACAAGTCACGCAACCACTCCGTTCTTGTCCACCTCGCAGTTGATGAGATGGAATAAAGAGTTGTGAAAGGGCTTTTAGATAAAGGGTACGTGGGACAGAACTTCTGTTTTTATAAGTTTTGACTTAGTACTTAATTCACGTGATTTGCTGTTCTGAGAGGTGGGCAGGGAGTTACTACGATCACTGTTTCCACGGATGAAGTCGGGCCAAAGCAGTGAAGCCCTGAGGCTCCAAAGCTAGCAGCGAGTTGGGTCCTGGAATCCAGGTTTCTGGCTGGTACAACCCCACCCCCCAACCAGGTCCTTTTTTTCCCACTGCTGAATGCTGTCGTCTGCCCGAGTACTTTTTTTTTTTTTTTTTCTTCTAAGTAAAATGGAAACAGCCCCTTACAACAAACAAGTTTGCTTTTTGACTCCAGGGCGGTGTGGGAGTTAGAAAACAGAAATTCTCCTACAGTTCGTATGGCCAGTACTAGCTTGCACAGACAGGTGAGTTCAGGACTGTTTTGTGGCAGGAAGCAGGGTCCATTATTGGGGAAGAGCTGCCTTATAAAAAGGCACAGCTGGAAAAAAGTCTGAAACTCCGTAAGAAAATATGAGAGGAGGGGCGCCTGGGTGGCTCAGTGGGTTAAGCCGCTGCCTTCGGCTCAGGTCATGATCTCAGGGTCCTGGGATCGAGTCCTGCATCGGGCTCTCTGCGCAGCGGGGAGCCTGCTTCCCTCTCTCTCTCTGCCTGCCTCTGTCTACTGTGATATCTCTGTCAAATAAATTAAAAAAAAAAAATGAGAGGATATGTTGAAATTCCATGGAAACGCCCCTAGTCCATCTACACAGCTAGTCTTTTATGGTAAAGACATGCTCATTTTTCAAAACATGGTTGTTTTTGAGATTTAATGTGAAATTAAACTGGGGAATCTGTTAAAGAACTGTACAAAGTATCCTTCCACTGTACATGCACCACTAATTTTTAGATGTCTAGAATGAATGCCTTGTACTTTTCTTTCTGGTAGCCACATTGATGGCCATAAAATAACCTTCTTTTTCTTTTTTCTTGTTCTGCATGTTTCCAAAATCAAGTAGTTGTGTATTATGGGTCCTGGGGTTCAAAGGAGTGTCCCTTAGGGGCCAAGCCTTCTGTGGTCCCACAGAGTGGGCTCTGGAGCTCACAGCCACCACTCTGACCCCCTGCAGATGTCCTTCGGCCTTCTCCGTGTGTTCTCCATCGTGATCCCCTTTCTCTACGTGGGGACGCTCATTAGCAAGAACTTTGCTGCTCTACTTGAGGAGCACGACATTTTTGTCCCAGAGGATGATGACGACGATGACTAACAGGTAAGACTTCCTTTTCTCCTACGTGGACCAGGAACAGGAAGTGGGTGGGGCATCTGAACTCTGATACAGTTTGCGCTGGTAGCAGTTTCTGGTCCCTTGAAGCAGAAGTGCAGACCTTTAATAAATTGATTGACTTCGCTGTTTTTATTTTGCCTTTGCTCTGTGTTGATGAGGAGATCTTACTGATTTAAAAATTCACCTGAATGGGATAGGGCACCTGGATGGCTCAGTCGGTCAAGCATCTGCCTTAGGCTCTGGTCATGATCTCAGGGTCCCAGGACTGAGCCCTATGTTGGGCTCCTTGCTCAGTGGGGAGTCTGCTTCTCCCTCTCCCTCTCCCCCCTGCTTGTGCTCTCTCTAAGTAAAATCTTTAAAAAAGAAAATTAACTAGGATCTCCTCCAACTGGGTTGATCCCAACCAGTCTTTCTGTCTTTTATATACCTTTGTTCTCTCAACCCACAAGTTTCTTAACAATTTAATGCCTTACACATGTACCCCAAACAGCTTCATTCTCCGCATTGAAATTTAGAAACTGCAGGTCTTGACCGTGGTCAGCAAGGTTACCACACTCTCTGCCTGTTCCATTCAGCTCTCTGGTGTTGGCTCCCACGCTTGAATATCTGCTGCTTGGCTGCCCTTCTGTTGTAGCTAAGGACAGTTCTGGCTCCATAGTCTGACAGTCAAGCGTGCCGTGACCTGGTCACACCAGTTATTCAAGCCTCATCTTCCATATTCCCAACCACTCACCTATCCTCAATATTCACTGTTTCTTGAATTACCCACATGCTTTCCTGCTCCCAAGCAGAGGCTCACTCTTCCTTCCAGTTGGAAGGGTATTTCGCACTAGTCCTTAAGATTTTTTTTTTTTTTATTAATTTGAGAGAGACAGACAGCACAAGGAGAAGGAGAAGCAAACTCCCTGCTGAGCAGGGAGCCTGATGCAGGGCTCAATCCCAGGACCTGAAGATCATGACCCGAGCCAAAGACACATGCCTAACTACTGAGCCACCCCGGCGCCCCTGTTTCTCACTACTCTTGCCTCCTCCAATTCTTCATTGTCGTTGATGAAGTCTTCCCTCATTCTTCCATTTGAAAGTGACTGTTGTGAGGCGCCTGGGTGGCTCAGTGTGTTAAAGCCTCTGACTTTGGCTCAGGTCATGACCCTAGGGTCCTGGGATCAAGCCCTGCATCGCATCAGGCTCTCTGCTCAGCAGGGAGCCTGCTTCCTCCTCTCTCTGCCTGCCTCTCTGCCTACTTGTGATCTCTCTGTCGGATAAATAAATAAAATCTTAAAGAAAAATGTCTTCAAAAAAAAAAAAAAAAAAAAGGGAGGGACTGCTGTGCCCTCTGACTGACCAGTATGTCTTATGACAGTATTACATGCTTAAGCACACAGGCACACCCCCAAATTCTACTAGACTAAGAGTTTCTTGCTGGCAAGGAACACTTTTCTTTTTTTTTAAAGTAAGCTCTACACCCAGTGTCGGGCCTGAACGCACGATCCCAAGATCAAGAGTCACACGTTCCACCAACTGAGCCAGCCAAATGCTCCTGGAAGTGTGTTTTTTATACCTATGGGTCCCCAGTACCTGGTCTCTGATGAATGTTCATTAAATGTGTGCGTGAAGAAACAAACGGTCTTGCCCCTCCTTGTTTGGTAGAACCTCTCTGGAATGCTTTTCGGTGTGTGGCCAGAAGGCTGCTCTGTGCCCAGTTCACTGCTGCTTTGCTTTCTTACAGGACATGGAGGAAGTACAGAAAGGAGACAGCCCTAACTTAATTATGATGTGGTGATGCTCACAGCCTCTCCTCCTGCCCTGTCGGAAGGGCGCAGGGAAAGCCCTCAGCCTCCCAGCTCCAGTGAAGCCTCCTGCATCGTCTGTGACCGCAGCCCAGATCCCCAGGCCCTGGGACGTTCCCACACATGTGCTGTCCGCTGAGCACAATCAGCTTATGAATAAACACGCTAAACATCAGCTCGGTATGACTGAGTGGTGGCTGGACTGTCCCCGCAGGAGTGACCCCAGCTGCAGTTTCTTGTCCCCGCCATCCTTTCTCTGGCAGCTGGATGGTAACAGGCCTTTGATTTACAGCGCAAGATTTCCAGGCCCCCCACCCCGCCCCCGGATCCACAAAGGTCATTACAGGCAACTGGGACCTATTTTCATTATGTACAAAAGCCAAACAGAAACTTTACCCTCAGTAAAGATGCACAGGATAACTAAAGCCTTGAGCTTTTTCGCGTTGAGGAACGCTGGCGAGTTGTCACAGGCCAGTCATAAGCTGTGACCGTTTACAACTCTTTGAGAAACATCGTTATTAGAATGAATCTTTCAACACTTGGCTTCCTTACATGAAAAGATAGTAAAGGGGTTGGTGGTGCAGAAGAATCTGGGAACACTCAGGGTGACTACCTGCCGAACCCCTCTCTCCGGCACTTAGACTGGCCGGGGGAGAAGCATTGAGAGCAGAGATGAGTTCTTTAACGTGTGTTGACATTTATTCTGTCGCTGGAGCTGTAACCCAGTTTAGAAGAGTAGAAATACTTCTGCTCCGTGTGCACTGAACAGTGTTCCTAGCCGAGTGCCCAGTGGGGAAGGAAGTTAATTTCACTTTCAGGACTGCTGCTCGTTGCACGGAGACAGGTGAGGCCTCGTCAGAACGCAGGGGAGAACAGCCCGGCTTGGGTGCCTGACTTCTGCACCTCCTAGTTTTGCTCTGCTCTCTCTCCCGACAGCAAAAGCTGGCTCATTCTGGATAACCTGTGCCGTGACACCAAGCAATCCTAGGGGCTGTAGAAACATGGCTAATTGGGGGCACCTGGGTGGCTCAGTTGGTTCAGCATCCAACTCTCGATTTCCACCCAGGCTGTGATACCGGTCGTGAGATTGAGCCCCGAGTGGGACTCCGTGCGGGGCATCCCTCTCCCTCCGAGCCCCCACCCCCACCCCCTTAAGAAAGTCAGCCAGCCTGAGAGCCAGGAGGCTAGTTTCTGGGCAGGTGGCCTCATCCTTCCTGTTTACTGACATGCGAGGCTCTGAGAAAAGAGAATCTAATTTGGAGGAAACACACTTCAGGAAAGGGAGCAGGTGGTGGGGACACTAAGGCCCCACTGGTTCAGGCAAAAAGGGAGACCGACTGCGGGAGAGCGACTCCCCCCTGGCTCACCAGTGGAATTCCGTTAGGAAGTGACCATCACATACTGAGTTTATTTGCGCTCTAAAGTATTTCAGCCCCAACATGCCCCTTCTCCTCAGTGACTTCACGGGTCATGGCCAACATAGAACTTGGACAGGAAATCCTTCGGCCTCGGCGCCTCTGTTTCGTGGAAGAACCGCATGACGTGCGTCCGCTGCTTCCACACGTTGACCGTCTCCTCCAGCCCCATCTTGCCCTGCACACGCGGGGAGGAGTTCGGTCAGAGCGGCCGAGGGAAGGGACGCGACGCTGAAGGCCGGGATTCTGCGCTCTGCTCTGGCACAGACTTACTGAGTCACCTTGGGCAAGGAACATCCTCTGTCAGGACCAGTTTCCGCATCTAGAAATGAGGTGGTTGGGCTAATGACCTCTGCGGCTTTTCAAATACTCTGTAGCGAACTGATTCCAGGAGGGGAGACGTCCAGGTCAACAGGCCCCTGGCCCGACTACCCGACCTGACCAGCTGAATTTGGGTTTCTGCTAAATTCTCGTCCTGCGGTACGTACTGGTCCTTGCTAAAGTTCGCACTGATGACCAGAAAAGACACGATCAGGCCTGGGATTTGACCCCATTCACACAGGACTCCGCTACCCAGCCTGCCTCTTCTAGCAGCAGCCTGGTGAAGCAGTAACTTCAGAAACGGGGTTTCAGGAAGAGTTTCAAACCTTCCTCTTTATGTCTTTTTCCAAAATACAAGCCCCAGAGCTTCTGGGTGGCTTAGTCACTTAAGCAGCTGCCTTCAGCTCAGGTCATGATCTCCGGGTCCTGGGATCAGGCCCTGTTTTGGGCTCCACACTCGTGGGGAGTCTGCTTCTCCCTCTCCCTCGGCCCCTCTCCCTGACTCGTGCTCTGTCTCTCAAATAATAAAATCTTTTTTTTTTTTTAAGAATTTATTTATTTATTTGACACAGAGATCACGAGTAGGCAGAAAGGCAGGTAGAGAGAGAGGAGGAAGCAGGCTCCCTGCCGAGCAGAGAGCAGAGAGCCCACTGCGGGACTCGATCCCAGGACCCTGAGATCATGACCCGAGCCGAAGGCAGAGGCTTAACCCACTGAGCCACCCAGGCACCCCCACAAATAATAAAATCTTCAAAAAATAATGAATAAAAATAAAAATGCAAGTCCTGGTGGGATTCTTCTTGAGCAATCTTCTGTTTAATCAGGTGATAACCACCTCTAAGTTCATCTGTTTCTTTGAAACACTAAGCAAAAGCTACTGACCTGGTAGTTGCTTTTTTAAACTTGGGAGACAAAACTGAGCAGCTCCGGACAAGCCAGCTGCTCTTAAACCCGTCAGGGAGGGTCACTTACCTTAATGACCAGAAGATCCACCACCCTGGGGTCTGTGACGTGGGCATTCTTCATGAACATTTCTCGGACTTTATCCCGTCCTTGCTTCACAGTGATGTCGAGCTGGAACAAGTGCACTAGAGAGGAAACATGATTCAGGGAAGAAATTACATGGTGAAAACCTGTTTTACAAACACGGAGTCAGTGAACACATCCAGGCTGCCCATTCATTTCATCAGCAGACATCACTAGCCAGACCCTAAGCCAGGTGCCTGAGGCTGTAGAGGAGTGACACGTGCTCTCAAGGAGCTTAAAGTTTACTTGCGGAGACCAGACCACCGCGTCGGAGGCGGCGGTAGAGCACAGCAGAGCACAGTTCAAGATCCCAGCTCGGTCACGGCACCCGTGTGGTCCTGCGGACGTAAACTTCTGCGTGCCTGAGCGTATTTGTTTCTGAGGGAGAGGAGGAGGATAATAGCACAGAGAACTCCAGAGAGATTGGGAGGATTCCAGGAGATAAGATGCTTAGAACAGTGCCCCGCATGGAATAAGCTCTCAAAAAGGTTAGCTTTATTCTCAGAGAGAACAATCGGCAAAAGGTGACGGGGTGTGGGTTTGCGCGGCTCAGGGCGCGGGGAGCCTGCTGTGTGTGCAGGGACGGCTTCGGTCCGGCCAGCAATTACTACCACATCAGGTTACTCGGGGGAAGGAGGGAGCAGTCTTCGAAGTTAACTCCTACTCGTCTCTCACATTCTGATCCGAGGGACAGCCATGAATGCAAACATAAAATCACGATACTCCGCATCCCTGGTTAAGTCAATGCCTCAAGGAGTGGCACAGCCTTAGGGACCCGAGACTTCAGCTGAGGCACATTAAGTCCTTTGAAAACTAGGTTTCGGTCATTTGTCTTCTCACCCTCTGGCAGTCAGCCTTCAGTGGCTTCGCCGACGACGAGGGCACGAACAGGGCCTTGTGTGGTGGGCAGGACTAGGGAGAGGGGCACATTAAGCATAAATAAGGCTCAGAGGCTAGAATGAGCATGTGGTTGTGTGTTCATTTGGTGAGGACGCCTGGTGTTGTGGCCATTCCTGTGCCATGTCCACTCTCGTCTACAGAATCAGAACCAGCTCTGAACACCAGGAGAGCTGCGGAGTGAGCGAATGAATCAACAATCAAGTTTCAGTCTTTAACTCTACTCAATTTAGAGCCAGCAACAGGAAAATAAAGCTTCTGCTGAGGTACTTATACCTTGCCTTGCTGATCCCAGCAGGGAATAAGCACCTGCAGAAACCGCAGGCAGCTTTACAGGGAAGTGTTAACAGAGGACAGGAAATCACTCACACTGGAAAGAACTCCAGTGGCGTGCTGGAGAAGGCTCTTGGGGAGTCTCTCTTCCCAATCTGCCTTCACTGACTTCACTTTGGTAGCTTAAAATCAACCATGGCGGGAGCACCAGCTCCCAGAAAATTGGTAAATGCTATAAATCTGGGTTCCCACCAGTGTGTATCATAGTAGGAATTTTATTTTTTATTTTAGAAAGAGAGTGGGGGAGGGGCAGAGGAAGAGGGAAGCAGACTCCCTGCTGAGCAGGAAGCCCAGTACAGCTTGACTCCAGCAGGCTTGATCCCACAACCCGGAGACCATACCTAAGCAACCTGAGCCGAAACCAGGTGCCAGGTGCCTCTCATAGTAGAATTTTAGAGAAGAGCAAAGAGAGGGAGAGTAAAACAAAGAGACACAAAAACAAATGCAAACTAACAGGGATCCCGGAATTCAGAATCCTCCCATTTGGGGGTAGTGAGGCCTATGGCACCGTGGGTACTTGCCTGAAGTCATACGATTGGTCCCTGGCAAATGTGGGCCTGGAATCCAGGTTGTTTATTTTGATTTTACAATCTGGTGTTTTTTTTTAAGGAAATGAGTATGAGGACCCTTCCTGCATTTTTATATTAGATCTCTGCCCAACCTTGGGAGCTTAAAAAAAAAAGGTCCCTCTATACCAGGGGAGCTGGTGCCCATCTGCTCCCGTTCTTCATCATCTCCTGAACTACACACCAGGACGTTGGGTGTGTAAGTCTTCTTCCTTAGGAAGATGTTCACAAGCACAAATGCAGTTTGGCTTACAATGTCAGTTCACATATCCCTGAATGCCCATCCTTCGCAGCTTAACCCTTGTCTCCGGAGAGAAATTCCATAGCTTTGTCCTGATCTCCCTCCTCCCATCCCAACCCTTTGACCACACCCCTCCACCGGGCCAGAAAGGCTGTGGGAAGGCAAACAGCAACAGCCTAAGCGATGACCTGCCCAATCATTCTTTGGTTTAACTCGGTGCTTGCTGCTTAAACCAGCAACGATCCTGCCCACCAGCACAAACGGCCATGTCTGGAGGCATTCTGGGTTGTCTCACTAGGGAGAGAGTTCTACTGGCATCTAGTGGGTAAAGGCCAGGGATGTTGTTAAAAATCCTACAATGCACAGGACCACCGCCACAACGATTATCCGGCACACGTGTGCTGAGAGGCCCTGGTATAAATTAATTCCAACTGCTCTCCCTCAACTCAGCTTCTTGGCTTATTCTTTGAATTCTGAATATTGAAATTGCGGTTTTGAAAAAATCTCAGAGGACTAAGAAAGGTATCAAATCAAAATCAAAAGGAAGGTATCAAAGTGCCCCTCTTGGATGAAGGTGCCTTTTCCACAGCCTCTGCGTGTTTTTCCAAAATTACTGTCAAGGTTTTCCTGAGTCAGGACCAGGCTCTGACATATCAAGAGGGAGGTCACTGATATCCTCAGCTGTCTGCTCCGCTCACTCAGGAAGCATTCATACCAGGTACTGCGAGATCCTGAGATGGGAAGGCGGCGCAGTGTGCTGGAGAAGAGCATGGGGTCAGGAGTCAAACCAGCTGGGTAAGGTCTCCCCACCATTATGAACTATGACCTTGACTTGGATACAACCTCCTCAGCCTGCTTCCTCAGCTAAAAAATAGGAAAGAAAAGAACCTCAGACCTAATTCCTTTATGGGAACATGGCAAAAATCGGTGACAATATCTTATAAACAGCAAAGCTACTATAAATGTTAGTTGTTAAACATTTCAGCACTTGCTTCTATTTTACATCTTAAAATACATCTATTCTAAGTCTTAATTGCCTGGATATATGCCTGTCTTCCTGACTAGACCGGAAGGCCCCTGAGGGGAGGGCTGTTTTATTCACTTTTGTATCTCCGGGCATCCAGTAGCAGCCCTATTGTACAAGAGATCCCAGTGAAATGGAAATTAAATAATTTCTACAGAAAACCTCCTGTTTTGTAACCAGCGAGCCTCAGTTAATACTTCTGCAGTAGAGGGGCCTGAAGGAAGGTAGTTCTGTCTCTGTGCTCCGATGCAAGGGTACCACCAGCCAAGCAAAGGGCCGCTCTCGTGTGCGGCGTAACTGGGTCCTGAGAGATTCAGGGAAAACTCAGCAGGAGCAAAGAGCCAGTGTAAAAGGTGGGTAGCCAGGGTCTGCAGTCTGGCTCCTCTCCTTACTAATAGTGTGATGAGAAGACACACTTAGGTGCCTCCATTTTCTTATCTGCAAGACAAGGAAACAATTAGAACCCACCCTCAAATAGGGCAATGTGAAGCATTTAGCACAGTGCTAGGCCGTATGTATGCAAGTCAGTAAATGTTAGTTATTAGAAATACTATTACTTATTCCAATTCTTGGTTTGGTTCCTCAGCTGGAGTCCCAATCATGGATAGCCTAACACCAGTGTAGACATAGGCCTGAACAACTGACCACCTACGGACCACCAATCCTCTCCATAAAGGAGGTACCACCCCTGGGCCCCTCCCCACCTGCCCCCCCCCACCCTTTTCAGGACCCTTCCGACTCTGGAATAATCTTCTCAAACAGTATTTGAGGGGAATTCCTGAGAGGGGATAGTTTAAAAACTTCTGGATGCTGACTGTGGATAACTGAGTCTGTCCTCAACTCAGCCATCGATTTTTTTTTTTTTAAAGCCATCACAAACGATTCTTCCTCCATCTGGGTCTTGTTCCCACCTCTTACTTCTCTCTGCAACAAGAAAGGGTTCTAGGCACTCAGGATTCTGCCAGGCAAACATTCTGTTTTCAAACATCTGCAATTGAATACACCCTCCTCCCCTGGCACGCGCACACCCACACGCACACGCACACCCACACGCACACGTGCAGACACTGGATGCTCTCACTTCCCTGTACCTATTATTCACCTGCCCCCTGAAAGCATTTACATCTGCGGTCCCCGAACCAGCAGTTCACTTGTTTCTCCCTCCCTTGTATCCTGGGGTGTAAGTTCTGGTCATCAGCAACCTCTCAGAAAGTCAGATTCAGGACAGGGACACTGTGGAGGAGACAGTTCTCACACACCAAAAAACTGGATTTTGCACAAATGCTCCTGCTGTAAGTAACAGTAATAATAATCATCGTAATAATAAAAACAGTAGTGGCCACCATTCAATGAGTACCTAAGTGACAGGGCGTCCCCTCAGCACTTTAAATATATTAGCTTTTTAATAAGGGCTACTCTCTGAAGAAGGTATCACCATCATGCTCATTTTACAGATGAGGAAACTGAGGCACAGCAAGATGAAATAATTTGCTCAAGGTCACACAGCTAGTAAGGAGCAAGGTCTGGGGGCAAGTCTGTGTTGCTTCTCTCACACACGTAGGGAAGGGACAGCCCAGAGGGAAGCTCACTTACCAACACCTTCCCTCTCAGACCAGCAGTGACGGTCCACATTAAAACACACTCCATCAATCAACAAAACAACAAAATATCGACAGCCCCTGACGTTCCTACCGTCCTTGACAGTTTATCTCCCCCGATCTTTTCTCATCAGGGACATTGGGCAGTGCCGAGGGGTAATGCCGAGATAAGAAAACAGAATCTCTGCATCTGGGGACCTCGTATTTCAATCCTTCCAGTGAACAGACTGGTTCTGGGGCATCTAAGTGAAGGCAGGGGACAGCGAGGCAGTAGGGGGCAGGTCATGGGGGGGGAGGAGGAGGAGTTCCTAAGAATTGCTAGAGGCAGGCAGAGCTAGGGAGCAGGCTCGGGAAACTGTGGGAGGCCACCTCACTTGGACAGGAAAAGGCACCACTGACTTAACTGGATGACCTTGGGAAAGTCACTTCCCTTCTCTGGTGGCCTGTTTTTCCGTGGGGGCGCGGGTTGTGCGGGAGACAGATGACCACTAACCCTAATGGGCACCTGTAAATACATTCAGCAACTCTACGGCTGACTTTGGGTTCCAGATCCACCAGGGCTGGCTCTGGGCCTCGGGGGCATCACTTCGCCTCTAGGTGCCTCACATGCCTCACCCGCCTGTCACCCACAGTCCCTCCCACGGATTCGGTAAGAATTACGGGGACGAAAGGGCCAACGCGCCCAGAGCGCCTAGAAGCGCGGTTCGGACGCAGGGCACGGTTGCTTTTGAGTCCGGCGCCGCCGCCGGGTCGGGTCCACCAATGCTTGGGTGACCCTCCTCCCCTGAAGCACCCGGAGTCGCCTGTGCCCAGGTCGGTGACCTCAGCTCGTCCCGGGAGAAATGGGAGGCCAGGACGGCTGCGACCTTGGGCGGCTGCATCCGGAGCCCCGCTTGCGCCGCGGCCTCTCACCAGTGTTCGGCACCTCTCGATACCAGGCGCGGTACAACTCGCGCACCCTCCGCTTGGCTTCGTTCATGTCCCGACTAAAAATGGGCTTCACTGAAGTGGGCACCGTAGCAGCAGCCCGCCGGAGGCCGCTCGCCGCCATCTTGCTAAAGAAACCACCTTCTGTGGGGGCGGCCGAAGGACGAAGCTCTTTTGTCATTGGCTAAAACTGAAAGCCACGCCCCCAAGCGCCACGGGTAGGCGGGAGGATAGCTGTGGGACTCTCTGATTGGCTGGGAGGACGCGGGGGGGGGGGATGCGCATGCCCAGACCCGGAAACCCCAGCTCAGCTGTTGGCGGTCCTAACGGTGGCCCAACCGCGCCGCCAGGAGACGCTCGAGCGCCAGGCTGGCCGCGGAGTCGCGGCCTTGGCGTCCCCCAGCGTCCCGCCGGCCACCAGCTCGCCGCGCTCCTTTGGTTGTGCCTGTGGGCGCGCGAGTCTCGCAGAGCTTCGCGGGTCGCTTTCCCCGGGGCCGAGGCCACGGGTCCCCAGGGGCAGCGGTAGCCTCCCAGGGCGCCTGGGCTTCCTTGGCGCCGGCCTGGCCCCTGTGCGGTTTTTCTGCAGCATCATTCTCCCCCCCCCCCACCCCACTCCCCAGTAAACCAACTCTTCGGAAGCGCTGTGTAGCCGCCAAAGCGCTTTCCTGGCCGTTGCCCTCCTGGCGCTTCTCCACGTCCCGGGAAGGTAGGCTCTATCATCAGCCCCGTTTCAGACAAGAGCCTTTTCATCCTAACCTGTGCATCTCCGTGAGAAGCGGCCCAGAAACGTGGAGCCGGAGGCAGGCTTGCATCGACCGTCCTGGGTGTCCCCTCCGTTGTGGCATTTTTCTACTGAGGTTGTCATCTGGCCATCCCGGGAGGTCCGGAGGCGCTAAGGGAGAAATAACAGCTAACGCATGGCAGGCCGCACACTAGACCATTTTACCTGGGCTTCTTTAATCTCATGGATCAGAGAGCTTCTGTTAGCACCCCAGGAAACAGGGGGTGTGGGGTCAAGGTCACGTGCACCTTGTGAGGGTGCTGGGGGAGGGGCAGGAGCAGGGGCTGAGCTCAGCTCTGAGACCCCAGCCAGCACGGAATAGGGCCCTGCAACTATCCCAGGCTTTCCCGTTTTAAAGGGTAAAAGAAAATCCGATTTTTGTTCTTGTATTGCCTTTTAAAATGTATCTGCTTTTAAGTGAGTTATGCATTCAAAGGAAGCTTGCACCATATACAAGTTCAAAGCCTGATAATAAAATGGAAACCTTGAAGCCTCAACCACAACCCCAAAAAGTGGTGATAAGAGTTAAGGTTTATATAAGCAGACTGTGCTCCTGACAGCCACTGGTTTGAGTTCCCCAGGCACATTAACTTGTTCATGCATCACAACACACCTGTGGGATCAGCACCTTTAAACCCATTTTACAGATGAGAAAACAGACAGAGAGAGAGGAAGTTACTGGACAGGGCTGACTTGAGACCCAGGTAGCTGTCCCCGGAATCTGTGCTCTACCTCTCACAACACCTACATCATCACATCTACCTGTCTAATTCTAACCCTGTCCATGCTCCTGCCTCCTCCAGGAGTAACCACTATCATGAATGTAGCGTTTAATATTCCTTTTCATTGAAAAAAAAAAAAAAAGCCACCGAAAAACCCACAAACTGGGAAAAGATATTTGCAAATCATTTATTCTGTAATGTATTTGTATCTAGAATATATATAAGACTCTTACAGCTCAGTAATAAAAAGGCAAATAGCCCAATTTAAAAATAAGCAAAGATGGGGCCTCTGGCTGGCTGAGTCAGTAGAGCATCTGACTCTTGATCTCAGGGTCATGAGTCCAAGTCCCATGTTGGGCATGAAGCCTAGTTTAAAAAAAAAAAAAAAAAAAAAAGAGCCAAAGTGACAAACCCAATGGCAGGAACTCTGTCATTGCTGGTGAAAATAATCAGCCACTTTGGAAGTCAGTTTCGCAGTTTCTTACAAAACTAAACATAGTCTTACCATGTGATCCAGCAGTCGCACTCCTCGGTCTTCACCCGAATGAGCTGAAAACTTTTGTCCACCCAAAAATCTGCACAGGGATATTTATAACAGTTTCATTCATAGTTGCCAAAATTTGGAAGCATCCAAGATGTCCTTCGGGAGGTTAATGGGTAGATGAACTTTTGTACACCCACACAATGGAATATTCTTCAGCATTAGGAAGAAATAAGCTATCGAGCCATGAAAAGACATGGAGAGGGGCACCTGGGTGGCACAGTGGGCTGGGCAGTGCACTCTTGGTTTCGGCTCCAATTTTGGTCTCAGCGTCCTGGGATGGAGCCCTGAGCTGGGCTCCATGCTTAGTATGGAGTCTGCTTGAGACTCTTCCTCCTTCCCCCTGCCCTCCCAATAAATAAATAAATATTTTTTAAAAAGACATGGAGGAAAATTAAATGGATATTACTAAGTGAAAAAAGCCCACCTGAAAAGGCTGTATGTGGTATAATTCCAGCTCTATGGCGTAACAGTAAAAGACGAAATTGTGGAGACAATAAAAAGATCATTGGTTGTTGGGGGGAGGGAGCAAGGAATGGATAGGAGAGATTCTGTGTGATACTCTTTTTTTTTTTTTAAGATTTTATTTATTTATTTGACAGAGATCACAAGTAGGCAGAGCAGCAGGCAGAGAGAGGGGGAAGCAGGCTCCCCGCTGAGCAGAGAGCCCGATGCGGGGCTCCATCCCAGGACCCTGAGATCAGGACCTGAGCTGAAGGCAGAGGCTCAACCCACTGAGCCACCCAGGCGCCCCTCTGTGTGATACTCTGTGGTTGATAGCTGTCATTATACATTTGTCCAAACCCATAGAGTGAACCCTGCTGTAAACTGTGGGCTTTGGATGACAGTGGTGTGTCCATGGAGGCTCATCAATTGTGACAAATGCACCATTGGTGGGATGGGGGGCGATGTTGATAATAGAGGGGGCTAGGGTTGGGGGGTAAGCATATAGGGGAAATCTCTGTACATTCCACTCAATTATGCTGTGAATCTAAAACTGCTCTAAAAAATAAATCTATTTTTTTTTTTTTAGTGGGCAAGGGATTTGAATAGCTATTTCTCCAAAAAAGGTACATAGTGACCAATAAACACATGAAAGGACACTCAACATGGTTAGTCATTAGGTAAATGATAAAATCAAAACTGTAACAAGACACCATTTCTTACCCATAGAATCCTAGAATAAAAAGATAATAGTCAGCGCTGGTGAGGATGTGGAGAAATTGGAACTCTCATACACAGCTGGTGGGAATGTAAAACGATGCAGCCACTTCAGAAGACAGCCTGGCAGTTTCTTAGAAACTCCAGTCCTGGGGCTCCTGAGTGTCTCAGTGGGTTGAGCCTCTGCCTTCAGCTCAGGTCATGATCTCAGTCGGGGTCCTGGGATCAAGCCCCGAATCTGGCTCTCTGCTCATAAGGGAGCCTGCTTCTCCCTCTCTCTGCCTGCCTCTCTGCCTACTTGTGATCTCTCTCTCTCTGTCAAATAAATAGATAAAATCTTTTTTTTTTAAGATTTTATTTATTCATTTGACAGAGATCACAAGTAGGCAGAAAGGCAGGCAGAGAGAGAGGAAGGGAAGCAGGCTCCCCGCCGCACAGAGAGCCCGACGTGGGGCTTGATCCCAGGACCTTGGGATCATGACCCGAGCCGAAGGCAGAGGCCTTAACCCACTGAGCCACCCAGACGCCCCTAAATAGATAAAATCTTAAAACAAAAACAAAAACAAAAAACTCCAGTCCTAGGTATCTACCCAGAAGAAATGAAAACATTTGTCCATATGCAAATGTTAATACCAACATTGTTCACAGTAACCAAAAAAGTAGAAACAACCCAAAAGTCCATCACCTGATGGAGTTTAAAAAAAGAAAGTGGATAAAAATGTGGGATATCCATGCAATGGAATACTCTTCAGCTATGGAGAACCTTGAAAACATTATGCTAAATGAAAAAAGCTAGAAACAAAATACATATTGTATGATTTCATTTATATGAAGGGTTCAGAAAAGGCAAACAGGTGAGCGGGCTGGGTGGGAATGTGGAGTGACGATAGCATGAGGTTTCTGGGTTTGTTTTATTTACCTAAAATAGCCAATACACAGTACATCTTTAATCTCAGATGTAGTGTTCAAGAATTTATCACTTGTGTTTCTGTTTAGGCAGCGGGAGATGCTCTGAAGTCTGTGGTGTAGTGTACAACTTTGTAAACAGACCAAAGTCCATTGAATTGCACACTTAAAATGAATGAAGGATAAATTTTATGTAAGTTACCTCTCAGTCAAGCTGTTGGGAAAGACGACCTCTGATGATTTTTCAAATGCGTGAGGCCCAGTGTATTTTAATAATGTCTTCTTGCTCTCATCGCCTTAAAAAAGAAAACAAAAAACCTATTTGTCTTTGTTAAAAACAATGATTTTAGAAAGTCGGCAAATATAGCACAGCACAGAAAATAAATATCCTCTATAGAATTAGAAGCAATGTAGTATACAGTGAAAAGAATTTATCGTCTGTTCCTGATACTAGTTATAAGCTGTATGTCAAGTTACCTTTCCCCCATGGTCTTTGGTTTCCACATCTGTAAAATGGGGATAACAGTGGCTACCACGCAGGGTTATGAGGATTAAATGAGATAAAGTATGTAACGTGAAATGCCTAGAAGATGTTTGGTGCACATGGATGTTTGCTAAGTGTCTGCTCATCAGATTGTGAGAATCCTGTTAACTTCCTTTAGCCTCAATCCCTATAACGTGTTACACTGAGCAGATCCTGGTGAAAAAGAGTGAAGCAGCAGTCTCGTGGGGGAGGGGTGGGATGTGCAGCACATCCAGGGTGTTTTCTGGATCCTGTGTTAGCATCTAAGACCCCAATTTTTACTTACATTGTACATTACACCCCAAATTAAGAAAATGTCGATATTCTGTAACAAAGAATGTTACTTTACTGGGAGAACGGTGTTAATATAGATGTCAGTTAAAGGCTAACCACTACTCCCAGCCCCTCCTGCTACTGTCCTTGGTACCCAGTAAATGTTAAATTGGGCTGAATGGAAGCCCTGGGCATTTCAGAGACGTGTTCAGTTGATGGTGGAGTGATAACGAGATCCGAATCTCTTGTCCAGTGTTTCTCTTC